ACCTGAGTTCTAGGCTAATTATTTTTGTCTCTCATGGTTCGCTTGTTGTGTTTTTAGTTTTAAAATCTGAGTAGAACTGGGAGCCAGCTGTTAATGTGGTTTGAATTGAAAGTATGTAAAAATTGCAAGATTTTGGACAGGGGCAATTAGTTGCCTATAATTCACGATTGTGTTTGGTTTCGGTCCCCAGACTGTGGCTTACACCAAGGATGTTATGCCCTTTTAGTGGGCATGGAAAAGGGCAAATGAAACACCATAAGCAGCAGCGATGTTTCTTGGTTAGAAGATCTCTAATCGCTTACATAATATCTTTTTTCAAACGAAAAATATCGTCCTGTATACTAGTTCCTGGAGGCACTTTTTGTGGATAAGAATAGATTGCCTTCTGCTGCTATTTGAAGGTTGGTTGTGATATATTCTTGCAAACACAGATTTAAAGGTGCTTCGTATCAGTCCTAAGGCCCGGAATTGGGGCATTTTGTTAGCCTCCGACCCGATGGTCGGAGAAAATTCAACAGTCGACAAAAACATTCTATGTGTTGTCACTGTGTGGTTTTTGGTTTAAGAATATACCAAGTTCGTAATTCGGCCATGAAATAAAATCAGTTTACTCATAAGTGATACTTTGTATGATACTTAGCTGTAGGTTGTCCATAGTCTTGTGATTCCTATCTTTGAAGTATCGTATATTAAACTTTAAAACCCTATCCAACACCTTGAGAGGAAAGAACATCAGTTTGTGCATTGGGGGCTCGTCGTATACAGGGTAAAGTTTATAGTCCTGTATCTGTAGCATTTATAAATGAATTTCGCTCTTTACTGTTAGCTCAGCCGCATCATTTTTGTGAACTTTCCACTCAATTAACCTAAGCTTTATTTGGGATGTTTGAATGCTGTCAAGTACTTACCTCCCACCTTCGTTTTTATTTTATTATTATTCAAAGTTTTTCTGTCATATATTGAATGGCCTAAGTACTTTAAATCCATATTTCTGGGCCTTGCGTTAACTTCCAGGTAGTTGATAGCTGGTGTTAAGTTTAGGTTTAAGGTAGGATTTTTGATTAAGGCTAGGTTGGAGTTAGGCATAGGGTCGTGCCTCCATAGTATATAACCTTCCGGTAATTTTGCGTAGGGCTACCCGTATTGATACAAACAACGCGGAGCGCGTTGTAACGTATTTGGTTGAACTCGAACCTTATTTGGTAAAAATGATTTGTAAGGCCCCTCTAGATATCTATTCCCCCCGCTCCACTGCTAACGAGCGTAAATTAATATGTTATTGTGGCGGAATTGATCAAAAAATATTAAATTAAATAAGATTATGTTTGTTTTATTATGCTCAATACAGTTAAACTCAATCAACATGAACTTCTATTGCAAAATTTTTAATGGATCCATAAAATTTCATGAGTGCTCGTCAGTTGCAT